TCCTATACCAGCTACAAGTGTGCCAAGTGAGGAAGTTTTTAGTATTAGTGGTGATATGATTACAGACAAACGAAACAAATTTGCAGACAAAACTGTATGGTTAGCAATGTGTTTAAGACCATGGTGGCGAGAATTTAAATAAATTTATTTTTTGTTAAAATAATACATTTAAATTATATAAAAAAACAAATAAATAAATAAAATAAAAAGTGCAATTCAATAGTATAGTCATGGGTGCTTTTGTAGTGCATAAAAAAACTGTTAGATTTCATAATTAAATTTTAATCTATTATTGTTATTTTTGAAAGACCTGATAAAAAATTGACTATATAATCATTTTGCTGATTCAATAAATTGTTATATCAATATACATAAAATTTATAAATGAAGACTAATATAAATATTATAAGACTATATGCATATAACTACAGAAATATAATGGGGTACTTGAAAAAATCACTGATAACTGAATCAATAAGTTTTTGATATTTGCTAGTTTTAATAACTTATTTATTTGACTTGATAACTTATCAATTCAGTTATCTGAAAAATTTTAGATGTTCTAGTAATAATGATAATAGCTGTAAAAGATCTATATTTTTGTACTGGTTCAGTTCTGAATCCAATATGGTACAGTTTTGGATCTATATAAGGACTCGATTTCATGTAACGGGTCTGTTATGTTTTTAATAAAACCCACCAAGAATCAATTTTGTGGAACACTAGGTTGGATGGATCTATGTTTCATCATCTTGATGAGGGAATATTAAGTGAAATTTGCTTAATATTTTATTAAAGAGTTTGGTACTGTCATGAAATTTTTTATCATCAAGATATGGACATAATTTGTTGTCACAAGTAAGACAGTAAAAGTTAGCAACACGGGATGCTTCTTCATATTATTCATGAAGTAAATTAGGTTTTTTAAAAATATAAGATTCAGGAAGATGTTTGGAAAGTTGTAAGATAAAGTGTTGTCAGAATTGGATTCTAAGAGATGTATAAACTTTTTCTTTGTCAATACTAGATGATAATTGTTACTGTAGGGAGGAAAATAGGTTTCAAACCAAGAATTAAAGTGGTTAAGTGAGTTTTTAAGGGAGGGGATGCAGAATCTTTCAAGAAATAGTGCTTTAGGAACATTGAAGAAGAGCTTAATATTGAATCTAGCATCTGACTAAATAATAAGATATTTTTAATTAAGATCGGTAGTTTGAATAAAAGATTCAATTATGAATCTTTTAGGTCTGCGTTGTAAGTCTTCAGCAAATTTTTGATAGTCAATTAATTGGTAGTTATTGAATAAGAAGAAGTAAAATCATGCAAGATTGAGACAGAGTTGGAGATGATTATGAGCAATATATAGAGGGATTATGGCTGGTAAGGCAAAGATTTCAAGATAGTTAAGTTTTGTAAAGAGGACAGTTGTAAATTTGAGAAGTAGGTTTTTGAGAGTCAATTCAAGAAAATCAAAAGGAATAGTAGCACTTTTGTCAATATTAGGATTGCTACTATAAAGAGGTTAGTTAAGAATTCTGGCTGTTGTCTAGCCATGATACAGATGATGTAATAAAATAAGGCCTTAAGTGCAGGTTGAGTAAAGTTGGCAGCCTTAATTTCTTTATTAGAATAAAAATTATAAAGAAATTTTTTAAGAAAAGTAAAGAGTTGGAGAGAAAAAGTGGTTTGTAATTTTTTGTTAGATTGCATTTCTTCAGTAATTGGAAAATTTGCAAGTTAGTTATAAGTGGGATTAGATTTTGGTTTGGCAACACTGGAATAGGTTTGGAGAAAAGCTTTGTTAGAAGTACTATCAGGTGGGTTAGTATTATTAGAATTATTGGATTTAAGTTAGTATTATCAGGAATGTTAGTAATAGAAGGTTGCTTAGAAATAGGGTTAGTATTGGTAATTGTAGTAAAGAAGAAATCAATAAGATTAGAAGAAGTTGAGGTTTGTTAAGAAGAGATAGTAAAAGAATTGGTAGTTTGAGAGGATTCATGTAGGATGTTTTGAAAGGTTTGGATGAGATTTTTCTTGGTTTGAGATGAGCTAGCTTCATGTTGAGATGAGGCAGTCATGCAGGTAAGATGGTAAACTTCATTATTTTTAGTAACATATTTTTCATTAGGATAATGTCGGTTATTTCTCTTGGTACAACCAATTGGCAGAGAGCATTTGGGACAAGTGTGATAATGTATATCAGATGTAGGAGATAGAGGAATATTGTCGTTAAGGAAGAGATATTAGTTAGAAGTTGTTAAGCTAATTTGTTAAGATTCTTTTTAGCATTACTGTTAACATGGACTGTGGTAAATTCATTGGCTTAAGTATGATTAGTGTTATAGTAGAAATAAATTTGGTATGATATTTGCCACAGAGACAAGTAATCACAGAGATAGAAGTAGAAGCTTAGAAAAAATGAGTAATTTTGTTGTTTCTAAGATTTTTGATTAAACAAATAGTTGGTTTGACTTTAGAAGGGATAGGGCAAGCATTATTGCTATTTTCTTTTTCATAAAGGGCAATTTCAAAACTGTTAGAGAAGTTTGGTAGAAGAAATCAAAGTCTGCAGTATCAAGCTTCTGGCTGCTTAATGTAGGCATTTTTAGATTTGTTATAAGTTAAATAAGTATTGTATTAAAAACTTAGAGAAATTTCTT